AGATTTGCATACCACATTGTTCGCAGGACGCTGTCGAGCTTCCTCTTAAACATCTTATCATTGACCTCTTCCACCACGTCAGCTGGAAGGGAGTTCCAAAGATTGGTTACCCTTCGCGATAGCCGGAACCGAAGAGGTAATCCTACGGACGAAAGCTTCAACAGCGTAAGTCCATGTCCACGAGTCCTGGTCTGCTCGCGCAGAGGGAAATACTCCATCAACTCTGGACCCATGTCACCGCGAAGAATACGTCTCCTTCTCGTCTCTTTTTTAAATTAATTCGGCTTTGGCATTCGGACATCATTATCTGTGAGTTGATTCATTGATTGACGCAAAATGAGGCTCGTACAATATTCACCAGTTTTTACTGAAACTAACTACACCATTTTGGTCAAGGAACTTTCTTCAGAACCCCTCTCCAGAACCGCGTCATCCCACAATCTCAAAATTTCCATTCTTCCCACTCGGTTTCATATCACTCTATTTGAGACAGGTCCATTAAAGTGGTCTCCCGGAAAGTAACCTAGAAAAAGAGAAAACTCTCAAGTCTCACTTGTGTCAACCAGATGTAGTTTCCGAGAAATCGTATAACTACTGGTTTCTGGGTAGACACGACAACAATAATACGTTTACAGCCTTTTTATAGTCATCTTNATCTAAGACTGAATGGAGAGAAACAATACTGAGTAAAATGATCGGTCGGGTCTTGACCAACCAAAATCACTTGTAAACCACCAATTACCGTTCCAGTTGACACTCTATTTTTTTTTACTCCAATTCAGCCGAGGGTACCAGAACTGAATTGTGGGTTAAGTGTTCGATCATTGCAATGTGTCAAATAGTGCTTCAATCCCGGGAATGACAGGGAGAGAAGAAGAGCAGTTAATAATAAAAAGACCAGAATTGTATAAATAACTCAAATTGAACTGTGCTCGATATATCGATAGAACGTTTGTGTTTTATATAACCTTGGGTAATTCAAGTGATACTCCACGGCCCTCTGTTATGACAGCTGTGATAAGTGGATTTGAGGATAGACGAAATTGGAATCTGTGGAAAGCGGAACCAGAAGAATATATCACATAACACCTGGAATAAGTTCGCACTCAATTATTGGCTCACGAAAACAAAGGGAGACCAATTGTTGAAACTGCCGGGAGAGATGAAAACAGCACCGAACACATGAAATTTAATTGTACCCAAACGTTCGCTCAAACCACTTCAACTAACATTACAAGTTATATGGTTATTATTATTATTATTATTATTTTCAAGCATCGTTATCTGCATAGTAAGTTTTGTCTCATTGATAAAGAGCGGGAAAAACGACTTTGCGGGTTCTTCTATTGCTGTTGTTGGTAGTGTAGATAATTGCGAAGTCCCGGAGAGTCAAGATGATGATTCGGTTGACTCAGGTGATTACTCAGATGATGATGAGGATGATGATGACTCGGATGACTCGGATGACTCGGATGGCGATGATGATGATGATGATGATGATGATGAGGAGGAGGAGGAGGAGGAGGAGGAGGANNAGAAGATACAAATGAATGGTTCTAACCATCTTAAGACGTCTCCGTGGAGACGAAACAGTTGACTTTGTCCTACCGAGAGCAGCATTTCGACAGTCCTGTTAATCACAGTGGCTGTGAATTTTGACAAATGAAAGTTTGATCGTTTGAGTACAAATTATTTGACACCCGACAATTTCCACGAGGGCTTATCACGTTGCTGTTCTGGCAGCCAATCATTTTGCGACTTCCGATCTCAGTTGTTGATTGGTGCGTCTGCTCGTTTGTGTCTGTGTAGAATCTGACCGAATTGACCAATCGTTGTGCGGTAGCCGAACCCGAAGCCATGTAGCACGAACACTCAGGCACAGAAACACGCATTGACCTATAAACAAATCTTACACATCAGACAATGGACATAGCAACAAACAGAAACAGATGTATATTCATCCTCGATGTTACTCCTCGCATTCGATACCATTGAGAACCGTTTTTGCGCTGTTGTGCGTTTGGTATTCGAAGTCCCCGGGGAGAGGGGGGCGGACAACTGGGGACGGTGACTGGAGTGCAGACGAAGGGGGAGGGGTTGGTTGGTTGGTTGGAGGCGTCCGTTGGTGAGTGAGGACTGAACATACAAGAGGTGAAAGTGAAGCCGTGAGGATGGAAGTAGCTAACTTCGTAAGTCGTGCCGGACACCTTCATAAACAGTTCGGAGACCAGGGGTATCGGTCAGTGGTACACGAAATTCGCCTCGATCGTCTATCCACATGAACTCCTTCGGGGTGTGAAAAACAATTACAGATCGCGATCGCAGACCCATTCGTTTCTGACTGGTTCAATTCACAAGTCACTAAGTGGCTGTCTTCCTTCTTTATGTGATTCGCATCTGCACAGCCGGAATAATGCGTGCACGTGTGTTTATTTATAAATATATAAGTATATATATATATATATATTTGCCGGTGCGTACGTGTGAGCTTGTGCGCGTGCATGCACTTCCAAATGCGTTCAACTTTCTGTGTAGTCACCACCACCACCACCACCATTGCCTCAACAACTCGCTGTGTTTCAAGCTCGTCCCACCCGACTGACTGAGCCACTGTTTCATGCACTGACCGATTCCAGTGTTCAGCGTCACTCAGTCCCCAATCCAGTCGTCTGCCGTACGCACGCACGCGGGCGTGTGTGTGTGTGTGTGCGCGCGCGCACTGAACCAAGTGAGTAGCTTGCACTTCATTCAATTGACCAGTGAAACCAAAAAAGGCATATCAACCCCTATCGACAACAAGAACAAGAACAACAACAGCAGCACATTCAGCAAAATCATCCCGGAGCGTCGAATGAATAATGACCGCACTCGGTGCAATCCCGTTAGGTCAAGCACAGGAGCTATATAAAGGTGATCGGTGATTGCTCAATTACAGGTTGGCTCCTTTGCCGAACAATTCAACAATCCTGACCGGCAGCACGCGTTTGTTTTTGCGTGCATAGCCATCCTCAAAAGACTCTACGTTCGTGTGTGAGTGTGTGCGTGAGCGAGTGTGTATAAGCCCAGACCAGTGTGTGTGTGTGTGCGCGTATAACTCAGGCATTCCCATCAACTTCATTCCTATTTTGTGAATACTATTCGTCTCAACCGATTACATTGGATCGGGACGAACAAATTCGACTTCATCAACTTAATTTGTGTGAACATTCCATATACCTTTAAGAAATCACACTGACTCGATTTTTGACCATCCAGTAGAGGTCAACTGACGTACATTGACGCACAATGACTTCGGAAGTTACTTTTGGAGTGCGAAAACTGATGTCTTTATTCGGTCGGTTATTGACTGCCTTCTATTTCGATTTACTCTCCATGGATTCAGTATTCAGCCAAACGGGTGAGTCATTTTCCCGGTGGGATGCAGTTCGATTTTTCTATGTTATCATCTCACGTGTTATAAACAACCCGTCCGAAATACTTTCACCAATATCACCAACACCAACTGTCCCCGGTTTTGTCCGCATTCATCATCTAGACTACCATTCGCCAATTTATCATTGAAAGCTGCCTCGATCACGTGATAATGCGTCACGGAACGGGAACCATGGTCGTTGGCGGTCAACCATGCAGACTAAGTGTAGGGGTTTCGATTCACAACCAGCAGATTACGGGTTCGAGTCTCGGCATGTACACAAACACCGATGACGAACTCGAACGAGCGCGAAGCACTCTTTTTATCACACATTACACAATAATCTAGGCTCATATAGTTCCTGCATCGGTCGAACCACACTACACAGTAGAATGGATGAGGCATAGGGCTCAAGCGGTCAAGTTGGTGTCGCTTTAAATGTTAAAAGGTAAATTACCTCGCACAATAGTATTATCTTCCAATATTCTAAAATCATATCTCAGTCTGTATTTTTGGACATCCGGTTCAAATGTCACTGCAATATCTGGGTGTTTCGGTCGCTGGGAACTGTCAATTTTCAGCAAATTCCATTTAATAATTAGTTTGGATTGTTTGCAGTGAAACTGATAACTGGTCATTATTATTATTATCATCAACATCATCATCCGAGTCATTCTCATCTCTCCCTTATTCACTCAATTTTGCTTGTGCGTATACAAATGCATATGTCCAAGTGTCCCCCACCCGCCGCGGACAGTTTTCATTTGTTTCTTTTAACTCGCGGTTTTTCTACCAATCTTCTATAAGATACTCATTCATACTGACGCATTTAAAGGGACAACAATACCGAATTGCACAATAACTTCTCCTCATTAACTTTGTGATTTAATTACCGCTTTGGTTTGACCTGGTTTCTTTCATGTATTATTTTCACATAAAATGGTTGTCTTATTTAGTAAACTAGTCAATAAAATGCCTGCATAGGACGCTGAAAGCGCTCTGATGAACTGGAATCCATTTTTACGCAAGCAATCTCACTCACATGTGAACGCTATTTGTTCTTACGCGGTTCTATGTTGAGCCTTACCTATTGATACTAATACTTGTCATCCGTGCTGCTGCTGAACTGGGTCTGAATGAGAGGAAGCCGGACAACAAAAACAGCAACAACAACAACAACAACAACAATATTGGCCATATCCCCAAGGTTAGCATGTTCTCCGGTCATTTTCTAATAGCTGTACACTCACGTTCTAAGTCCTTGGTAAATACTAGCGAGATCTCTCTCTCATTCAGTTATTATTTATGAAAAAGGAAAAGCGGTTTGATTTAAACAAAGATCCTTTAGAAGTGATGGCAATGCCGATGTGCTAACTGTCATCAGACAAAGGACACCAATATAGATCCAGTCTACTGATACATCATGACCAGTGCAACCGTACATGTTGAACGAAAAGCTTGCTGGGATGAACACATCGTAAGAATGTGGGAAAAAAAAATCAATGAAATAGGTTCTCATCTTGACGGAGGAAACCGGTCGCAGTGATTGTGATAGGATGCATAGAAAAGAAGCACGAGTTATGAAACAACACAAAAACACTGAATATCAATTTTGAAATGTGAATAAAACATGCGAGACCGTTGATTCGGTGATTTATTTTCACCCCACATCCTCTACCGCGTGTTATGTTGACTCAACTGGGTTTGACTAACCATCATCTATGGATACCGCGATTGAATTTTCAAATAATGTGTTCCTCGTGGCAGAGAGGATCTGCTTCCCCTCCTCTTAACTGAGCATTTGGGATATTATTTTAGAAAATCTTATTGCCCATAATCGGTGTGTTAGGTCCTACACTGAGAGACAACTAAAACAACTCCTTTTCACCGTAGCTGACGTCCGACATGAATCAGATTCTATTCCGCAGAACTGAAATGAAAGTTCACTCACATTGGTTGTCGTGCGTTCTATCCAATCTACTTAAATATATATCAAAAGTTCGTTTTGCACAATTATACAGCATTCTAATAAAAACAATTTTTTGATGGGATTTGATGATGAAACACAATGAAAACAGGATTCAACTTCAGGGAGCCACTAATTCGTAAATTTATTGATTAGAAGAAAATAATCCTTGAAAGCACTAGCTCGAAATAAATCGAATTGATTATTCAAAGATACCACTTACTCTAACTACTCAACTTGTGGCTCGGTTAATTGGGACTTAATTTGCTGAAACAGGTAATTTTAACATGTATATTCATCTTTACTGAGCCACTCGTTTTACTGACAGTTTACAATTCCATACCCCACCGGGATGCTATTGAGAACTGCTGATTTTTAATGTGCAGGTGTCTCATACTACTCACTTTAGTAAGTAGTCCTCATAGCATTTAACTACGGCAAAAAGAAACCCTGTATGGAAAAGGATTACGTCATTTGAGGATCACGAAACGGTTGATCTCAAAAATATTATACCGGTCGTTTCACTTTTTCATATTTATTGTTCGCCAGAATTGAATGCAAGTCACGATTATGACATTACTTACTGTCAGATTCTTCATTCTATCGTTTCAATCCATTTCCCAAAGCCCGTCCGACTTTGCTTACTCTGATGCTTGCACAATGGATGTGGTTATTCTCCGCTCAGTCCTTACGAACCTGTTCATGTGGGGCGATTAGCGTATCTTGACATGGGTTGCTGGTAAATTCTCTGATATACTTTTTGTACTTTGTAATGCGTTCCACCAGCAGACTATTCATTCGGTTTTCGTGTAATTGGCGTTAGTGATTTCGACAGCACGTTCTATTGTCTACATACCCCGACAGACAGATTGTTTCATTCGGTTAATACGTGGTCAAGTGCTGTGGTCAAGTACACACATATTTAGGTTCGTCGGTGACAGTATCATCATCGTCCGGCTGACCTGAAAAACTTGAAAGATTTTGAATCGATATCATTGGCGGTCGTATGTTTGACAAGTTTAGGAAGCACCACAAACGATCAAAGAGAGTCAAGAACGTGGACTGTGGTGACAGAAACCAGAGAAACGACTCACTGGCTGAAGAATCGGTCAATCGGTGTGCTGATGGGCTCAGCTGGTTACAATCAGAGAGGGAGAGAGAGTGACTATATTTAAGATCATTGTGACAAATTTTAAATTCTGATTGGAAACATGGAGTCAAGGTCATGAACAGATGATATAAATAAGTTTCAACTGCCCCCTTAAAATTATCCGAAAACCTAAGGGAAAATTATGTGATTTTCTTTTTTCCTTATACCACATATTGATGTTTGTTGTGTTTTTTAAATTAGTGCACTCGAACTCAAATTGTGACCTAATCAGAATGATTTACTAGGGATGGGGGTGGGCGGGGGAATATCCACAAAACCAAACAAATACTTGCTACATGTTGTAAAAAACAAAGCGTGAAGGCCTAATATTAATCGTGGAATACACGACAGTACTATTAACACGAGCAGCGCCAATCAATTTCTGCATTTTGATTTGAACTGACATCATCATTCAAACTGCACCTTCAGACACAATTCTCAGTTCATACAGTCATCCGTTGAGACTCGAACTCATTAAACTCCCATTTTACTCTTATTTACCTTTCCACCGTCCGGGATTTGAACTCCGGCCCCCTGCACATGTGCGTGTGTTACCACTGTGCCAATCAGCTCATCCCCGGGGCTACGTCGAATTGCCAGTTCATGTTTATTCCGGGTGTCGTCTTCAGTGATGAACGATCAGTCAGTCAGTTCATTTTTGACCCGACCGCAATGAAGGGAGGCACAGTTGACTATCTGTTTACTCCAATGAGATTGGTCCGGAATTCCGAAACCCGGACGGTGGATATACAACACTAGTGTGATGAGCTCTAATAAAGATGAAACTTAAGTCTAGTACCTCGGAGTGTGTGGTTGACTGGAAGAACTGAGGATTGTGAGTGAAGGTGCAGTCTGAAGGATGGTCAGTTCAAATTAGCATGAATTATACCACATCACTACTCGCAAGTAACTGTGATTTAAATCTAAAGTTTCTATATGCTCGAAATTTGATGACTTTGAACTGCACGCCAGGTATCAATTCTTCCCATCACTTCCCGCCCTTCTACACATCTCCAACCACCATACTTAGGCATATCTGGTTCCTGTTTCAAACAACGCTTGGAGAACGGTAAATGTGTGGGTCTGCTAGTCCGTGTGAACACACAGACCGAATGTTGTGCTCGTGGTGGATACTTTCTGAATCGTATGCTCACACAACGGGAATATCTGAATGATCATCTGATTTTCGAACTTGGTACACCAAATTGTGTGGACGCTTGTACGGAGGGTGAGTTGGCCGAATGTGGACAAAAACACTATTCGGTATTTGTATGTCTCTCCGTGTGTGTAGGCTTTTGGTTCCCGAGTCATCCACATTCCCTTATTCACTCAAAGCGGTTGTGTATTGTTACCAGATGTAAATGATTGGTTTCTTTCAAGGCTTACTAACTACAATTTATCAGCCACACAAACTCCTAGCAGTTGAGAAGGGATAGAATGATAAAATCAAGCTTTATTGACAACGATGAACAACCTCCAGTGAAATGTCTATGGTATGTGTTTGGATACGAAGTTCTTGAATTGTTATGGGACAATGTCAGGCTATGTGGGACAAAATTACTCTGATTGAGCAACACAGTAGAATCAATCAATCAATCAATCAGTGTTGGTGGCGCAATGGGTTAGTCACTGTCACCGGTGTGCTTTGGAACTTGTGGCCCGAGGTTCGCACTCTGCCGCCATCACCCAACTTTTGTGGTAGGCCGTGTTGCTGTCTTCTTAATCTGGTGGTGTCTTATGTGGTTCAGCACTCCAAGTCCCGAGGCTTAGGTTACCAGTTTCTGTTACTGCACGGTATGTTTCCGAAACTGTCGATTCGACCCTGTCTGCTGTTCATCACACAAATGCGTGTAATTAAAAAAACTTTGCCATTAGTCACATTCGAATTTCCTTGTGGAAAATTTACATGACCGCCCGGCCTGTTTATTATTGTCCATATTTTAAGTCAAATCAGTACTTTTTACACCGGAAGATATTTGTCTGACTACAGCGTGGAATTGAGGAGAAAAGTTACAAGGTCATCAATCCAGCAGTGTTTTCCGGATCTTCGATTTGACATGAACGCGATCGGTTAGGAACTTGAAGAGGTACGACCATTTGAATGCCTTAGTACGTGATCAGAACAATAGCTATAGATCTGTTGAAGCAAACCGGATGACACTAAACTGGGTCAGCATAACACGGGATGAGCCAATCTGCTAGAATCAATTGGTTGGTAAATCGTACAGTGTAAGACGTGATAAGTAAACAACGATGAGAAACGCATGGTCTCTGTGCTTGCTTGGACCGTGGTCAGAGATCACATCCCCGTCGTTGATGGAACCAGAACGAACAGCAAGCACGTCGAGGACATTTAAAAGCGTCGGATCGTTCGAGAAATCTATGTGACGCTATTTGTCGGGGTGAGGAAAGCTTTTCTCCAGGGCTAATGTAAGCCAAAATATCATCATATCCTCTGAATGTATGATCCGTAGAGCATTCGTCTTAGTTGGCATTGCAGATAGACAAGGAGAGAACATAAATGGCCACCAGCTCCTCGAAGTGTGAAGATCGTAGTAGAGGAGAACAGTTGTCAAGGCTAACTTTATTTAATCGTTTTGAATTGGTTGAACAGGCAGATAGTGAGCTACAGGGAGATGATCAGTACTTATAGAAGTTCATCCTAGGCACACACATGAATTTCATTATGGCCCCGGAAACGGACTGTAACAACCTTTCCTATGGTTGTCTGAGGAGGAACGAAAACGATTGATTGAGAAGGCCAAGGTTCATCGAATACATCGTGAATGTGTTTACCGGGACTAAACACGTGGCCAAGAATAACTTCCAAAACTCTTCGTGAACGATTGATATGCATGTGCGAAGTTTATGGTTCATCCGGACAAGCCCATTTGAACTCACAGCCATGTGAAAAGTTTGGTATTTGTTGAGGAGGTCTGATATGAGCGGGGAACTCGCTGCAAACCAAAAGCGATCAGTCTCGTTGAGAAGACCTGCACGACAATAGCAAATAACCGCTAAATCAGACAGTTTTTCTTTAAAACCAGCTACCTCTAAGAACGATCTTTATGTTTGGTACTGTGCACTCTTATCTGATGAACTAAAACTCCTACCATTCAAATACTGTTCTATTCATATATGCAAGCGACCGATAGTACAACAGAGTTCTGAAAACCGGGCACTTCAATCTGACCGAAACAGGACTTGGTTAAACACAGTGAACCACGCAATAATGCACGTGGGTGATATGAGAGATTGNAATCCCACAGTCGTATATGCCTGGAACAGTCAATGAACGAATCCTTTTCCCAGCTGTTTTTTCGGCTGAGTGATGCCATGGTGCACCAAGGCGTATAAATCCGATGTATTAATTAGTTAGGGGCTATCCCAACGGGCGCCTCGGATGACCAACTATGCGCACACGCAGCTTCCAATTCCAAATTGATTCGGTCAATATGCATTACTAATATTTCCTGCCATGCCTTACTAAACAGTCGACTAGTGTTACTGACGCAACGCACCGATTCGGGCGAGACACACTGGCTCCGATACAGTCGACCCACGTTTTGAGACCACTTGTATTTCTGATGGGGATAGCTTTTTCTTTGAAATTGGTGCGATTTTCAGGGTAGAAGTCGTTGTGTCCAAAATGTAGTAGGCAAGCGAGCACACAACGAATGAAGCAGTAAGTTTATTGTAAACAGCAAATTTTTAGCCGGT